GGCAGCAGCGGCGCCTGCAGATCAGACAGGCTGCAGCGCCCGCAGACAGGCAGCAGCAGACCAGATGGGCTGCAACGCCTGCAGTGCTGGCAGCGGCGGCGCCTGCAGACCAGGCGGACTGCAGCGCCCGCAGACCAGGCTGCTCAACTGCTTGACTCTCACACCTCAGCATCTCCGCTCGATTGGTTTTGGTATACCTTGCCACGTGTTCTCCAAAACACACTCTGGCAGTGAAGGAACAACGTTCATTCGGCACAACCCGACACGCGCTGACTTATTTCAAAAGACTTGCGTTTGCGACGGTAAGAGCAGAATATCACGAGACAAATTAATCTGATACACGGATACGTGAAAGATCACGCATTCGAAGCTTAAACAAACGCGACTCAACCACCGTCACATACTCGCGACCCACTGCAAGTATGGGACATGCGCACGCGATCGTGTCGACGCGACCCGTTGTCCAATGCTCGAGGTTTACTTACCCGCCATTTTCGCAACACATTTAAATCACAAAAAAAATCACTCGATAGACAAAATGGAAACGAAAAGAAACTGGTGTTTTGAACTTTAGCAATAAAATAAAAGATGACAAAGCGACACAAGGCCTGATGGGCTTGAGACATCCCACTTCTGATATTAGGGATCAGTTGCGGATTTTCAAATAAAAAGTAATAAAGTCACAAACATTTGGTATATTTCCTACCAAAATTACAATAGGGCTCAACTTAAATAACTTAATTAACAAAACACCAATTTATTATCGAGATTACCACATTCACCAACGGATCACGTCGATACGTCCGTACGCTTTCAATCGCCACGAGCAAATAGGCGGTTGCAAGGAGGGGGAACCTCTTTTATTAAAACGACCGCGCGCCTAACCCACGCCGGTAGTGACGTAATACGGATGACGCTACGCGAAGATCCTAACAATAGCATAATCTATTTGTATCCTTGAAGAAAAGATTGCGAAAAATCTAGGAAATGAACTAAAGTGTGCTTACTATTCTAAAATGCATCCTATCAAGCCTTTACCTAAGATAATGGTAATGGTAACTTCTTATGTTCTCTTAAATATTTATTAAATTACCTTTATTTTGCAAGGCAGAAAACTATTTAGCAATAACTATTATGGAGTGCAGTGAACTCATTTTTCCTTGAATATTCAATGAAGTCTTCAGTTATGGTTTACCTTAATAATGAGAAAAACAATAAGGAATGTAAACATGTAAAATACTAGTAAAATCTTACTGGATGAGTAAAATATATGAATACCTCTGCCTGCGTCATGCGTTATTGTTTATGATATGTCTGTTTACCTGAAATATTCTGAATACCTATTGTTATAAAAACCAACTAAGGGAAATTGGGTAATTCATCTTGAACTGCGGTCGCCAAACGTGGTAAGACCCTGTTAAGAAGTTTTTGATGATGATTAAAGAACTGTAATAATTATTCCTGATCACTTGCATAATTTCGCAGGAACGTCGCTACTTATTAAGAGCGAAAGTCACAGGTTCAAATCCTTTCTGAAAGTTGCTGATTTATTATACCACAAAAAGATAGACAAGTGTTAAGCGCGGGTCTAACTGTTTTTTGTGGTTAGCCCTAACTAGATTTGGGAAGTGTTTTAAAATTTAGTATGATCATAATCCAGTCAAACGAATTTTTAATGCACTCACAGTGCTGTATTATTCTCAGTTGGCAGAGCGGTGGGACGGTATCCCACGGTCCCGGGTTCAAGTCCCAGCGGTCGGTGAGGAATTTTTCAATTTATGCATAATTTTTTTCTTCAGGTTCCCGTCGAACTACACGAGCGAGGAAGGCGACGCGGAGGACCCCGTGCACACGTACGCGATGGCTGAAAACGTGCTCGACATTGTGGTAAGTTGTGTAAGTGAAACGAAACATCGTAGGTGTTGTGATTGTGATGTAGTACAAACGTAGAAGTCAAAATAAATAAATTAAATTGATTTCATTTTTTGAGTAAGTAAACCAAAACATCGTAGGTGTTGTGATTATCATTTAGAAAATATAGAGGTCAAAATAAAATAATTATATTCATTTCATTTCATGTGTAAGTGAAACAAAACATCGTAGGTGTTGTGATTGTGATGTAGAACCAACATAGAGGTCAAAAAACATCGTGGGTGTTGTGGTTGTGATGTAGAACAAACGTAGTGGTCAAAACTAATTAATCGTATTAATTCTTCGAGTGGGACACCAAGTCTTCCAACGACCCGATGAACCCCGATGTTTTCAATCGCCTACTGCAGGCCTCTGACATGGTTGCGTAATGACTGCCGTTTAAGTGGTCATAGACAGCAACCGGGACCGACGCCTTAACGTGTCCTTCGAGTTCGAAGAAACCATCTTGCTTTTCGGACAATTAGGTGGTTCGGCCTGCAATGTCCTGACCAGGCTGGGAACAAATTCAAAAAGTGATAAATATCAACTTTGCGAGTGACACCACCGGGAATTGAAACCGGAACCTTCGGCGCAGGCAGTCGTACTAACCACTGCGCCACATCGGCTGTCGTAATTGCATTAATTTCATTTCATAATAAGTTACTTTATTATTGACGTCTAAAATGTGGCTGACCATGGAAACTGCCAGGGTTTGAGCTAGCAATTTTTTTTAAGATTTATGTTCATGAGGTTTAGGTTTTATCTTTAAGAGCGCATTCAATTTTTTCTAGCAAATTTGCAAATATTGGCTTTATAAACATGCGAGTTTCTCGAAAACCGTTATGTAAAAATAATATGTTACTTGAACATTTAATCAAGCATATCTTCATCTAAAAAATGTACAATGTAAATATTAACATTTTAGTTTTAAACCTGTTATAAACAGCGATATCTAAAGCGACAAAACCAAAATTCAGGAAAAGACCTCAAATCAAGCGTGAGTTTTAGAGTTTTGGTTCACTGTAAAAAAATATCAATTATACAAAAAAATAGAGTATATAAGGTAAGTGTACACAAGTTCGACAGTGTCCCTGTACTCGTCAGCTTACTTTATTCCCTTTTATTTATATGTTTCCAACATGATATAAGTATTTTTTGTGTAGCAACACATTTTTGGTAAAACTCCCAAAAAAATAATAGTAGGATCATGCTAATTCCACGTTTTAACACATAAATAAAAGGGTTTAAAGTAAACGGACGATTACTGGGACACTGCCGAATACTGGTACGTTTACCTTATTTGAGAACAAAGTCTACAGTGAACATTTTACAATTTTATTCAGAAATATAGAATAATACCACGTTTTTATATACGATTTTTTGCAGAATAATGCGGCATTATAACGGCTTCTATATGAAAAAATAACAGTAGTAAAGATTTAAAAAAAATATATGTTATTTGAGAAGATGTACTTAATCTAATTGCAGAAAAATATATTTATTTTTATTCATAATATCACTGTAAAAAATATTCAAACATCCCCATGTTTTTCGCAAAATGACGCTCCGAGAGGTCTGGCAGGGAAAATTGTATGGGCTTCGTGAAAAGCTCTATAGCGGCCTTAAGATTTATGTTCATGAAGCTGTCTATGAAAAATTATGGCTCCTTGACTCAGAACTTGAGTGCAAACTATTCATAACTCAATTGGCATCATTTACAGACAGATGTGTTCAATTAGATGTTAATTGATTTGGGGCATTGTCCAGTTATGTGGAGCAGTTGGTCATAATTAGCATTATTTCCTGCTTTTTTATTAGTCAGCGACAGCAACACATTTGGACTTTTTCGTTCTATAAGTGGCTTCCTCAAGGCGATTTGAACTACTAACCCAGGCTCTTATTTATGCATCAATCAACCTCAAAATCCTCGCGTACGTAAACTTATACTCCTGGAGGAAATAATTCAGTTTCATGGATTGGTTATGGAGTAAAGCTGCTGCCAGCTCACAACCTTCCCTTGGCCACCTGTAAGGCGCTAAATATACTTCGGTCAGGTGTCGGCAGGTGTAAAGAGCTTAGATATTAGCGAAGAGAGTTACACTTATAAACTAAAACAGTGTCTCACAAAACTGCACAAATGACTGTAGCATAAAGCAATACTCGCTGCTTAAACATACTTATAATTTTAATAATGCTATAGTGATGCACAGTTTTCTGAATGACTCTCCAACTTTAGTCAAACTTAGTGTGAATGGCCGTTTTTACAGCGATTTACGCTCCGCCCTGCAAGGAATATAGGCGTGATATATGTATGTATGTATGTATTTTGCATTATGCTGTGTAGTGGCGACTAAGAATAGTGAAAATAAGAAATAGATAAAATGACATGCATCGACCGGGGATCGAACCCGGGCCGCATGGGTAAACGCCCCACCGCTCTGCCACTGAGCTATCGATGCACCGGCTGATGAATGGCAAACTATCTCTTGATGCTCGTCTCCAAGCGACGATCCAGCGACATCTGTAGAAAGTGTTTAGAACTTACTACATGGTTAGTCCACATTATTAGTGGAATTCAAACCATATGATGAAGCTTGCTTAATCAATCTATTGGGATTGTAATGCACTCACAGTGCTATATTATTCTCACAAGTGAAAATAAGAAATAGATAAAATGACATGCATCGACCGGGGATCGAACCCGGGCCGCATGGGTAAACGCCCCACCGCTCTGCCACTGAGCTATCGATGCAAGTAGTAAGTTCTAAATACTTTCTACAGATGTCGCTACTTGCATCGATAGCTCAGTGGCAGAGCGGTGGGGCGTTTACCCATGCGGCCCGGGTTCGATCCCCGGTCGATGCATGTCATTTTATCTATTTCTTATTTTCACTTGTGAGAATAATATAGCACTGTGAGTGCATTACAATCCCAATAGATTGATTAAGCAAGCTTCATCATATGGTTTGAATTCCACTCATAATGTGGACTAACCATGTAGTAAGTTCTAAATACTTTCTACAGATGTCGCTGGATCGTCGCTTGGAGACGAGCATCAAGAGATAGATAATTTGGCGTTCATCGGCCGTGCATCGATAGCTCAGTGGCAGAGCGGTGGGGCGTTTACCCATGCGGCCCGGGTTCGATCCCCGGTCGACGCATGTCATTTTATCTATTTCTTATTTTCACTTGTGAGAATAATATAGCACTGTGAGTGCATTACAATCCCAATAGAGCGACTAAGAATAGTCCACTCCTAGTCCACTCGCAGGGTGTTTCGTAAAAGGCGACGTAGAGTTCTTGACCTCGGCTGAATATCTGCGACTATGGTCAACCGCATCGTCACGATGATACCATCTTCAATAGCATTCTAAAAGAGGGATGACGTCAGGCAGGCGGATAGTTATAAAACATTGAAAATAATCTTTCTGCTACTTGATTTTGTTCCCTAACAAGACATACGAGTATTCCGCCACCCCCGATTGGTTTGAGATAAGGGCAGGAAGATGATGATATGTATTTCTCATTACCAGGTGGCGCTGTACTCGTTCACGTCGAACAACGAGCAAGAGCTATCTTTCGAGAAGGGCGACCGTCTTGAGATCATCGAGCGTCCCCCCGCCGACCCGGAGTGGTACCGCGCGCGCGACTCCCGCGGGAACGTCGGCCTCGTGCCCAGGAACTACCTGCAGGAGCTGGCCGACTACCTCACGCAGCCCTACAGGTACATATACCGACCAGACAACCTTCTCAAGACGCTTATTCCCGCCTGTTTTTATGCAGCCATACAGTTCAATATAGAAAGGAGGAATTACATACCGCCTTACGGGCAACTATACACGCGGCACAATGCAGAGGAGATTGGAGTAAGCTGTGTCGAACATTTTCCAGAGTAATTATGTTGCTTGCTCCACGCATTTTAAGTTGCTCACGCCGAGATTGCAAGACCCATTTTACTTTACCGGCGTAGCCGGCTTTGGGCTACTTGCATCAAGGTCGCTGCACCTTGGCATCAAAAATTAAACCGAATTTTAGATATTTAACGTCAAAATAAGATTTTAAAAGACTTCAAAGTTTCCAGGGCTTTTTTCCTCATCTCGAAACATTTCGATTGTCATCTTTATCTTTCATAGCCCCCAAAAAGGTGCTACACCGCTCTGACGTGGCACGCTATGCCACAGATAAGACGCACGAGTCGTTTCATTTATTACAGTTTTAGAGTTTTTCGGATAGCACGGGAAACTCAATGCTATTTATTGGCAATCGAATTTACACTGGTGTTTTTTTATTGTCCAACAGCGAGTCATCAGAAGGCGGTCCCCGCAACACGGCGCCCGGCGGCGGCTGCGTAGGCCGTGCCTGGTACTACGGAGCTATCACCAGGACCCATTGTGATGCATTGCTTAACCAACACGGCCATGACGGGGACTTCCTTATTCGAGATTCCGAGACCAATGTAAGTCAAACCTCATTAGACAGATTCTCTAGTACTAAAGTCATTTGAAGGCTGCGTGGGTCGCGCCTGGTACTACGGAGCCATCACCAGGACCCATTGTGATGCGCTACTCAACCAACACGGCCATGACGGGGACTTCCTTATTCGGGATTCCGAGACTAACGTAAGTCAAACATCATTAGACAGATTCTCTAGTACTAAAGTCATTTGAAGGCTGCGTGTGTTGTGCCTGGTACTACGGAGCCATCACTAGGACCCATTGTGATGCATTACTCAACCAACATGGCCATGATGGAGACTTCCTCATTCGAGATTCTGAAACAAACGTAAGCTATACCCCCTTCTTTCATATTGACAAAAAGTGGTCCCGCATAAGCTATTCTCAGCGAGCTGCCTGCATGTTGCAAGTACATTCTGGCGATTATTGTAGGTTTGTGAACAGTAAGACCGGACCCGATGATTCAAAATTGAAGAAAAAATTGTATACCTAACGCAGGAAGTGTTAAAGAGAATTGTATTCGAAATTCTAAATATCTGTTTCAATTTTCTTCCATTGTAAATACCAATAATACTACTACTATTATTACAGCCACAAAAGTCCACTGCTGGACATGGGCTTCTCCCAATCGGGGGGTATTGCTATACTCACCACACTTCGGAGGCGGATTGGCGAAAGCAGTGCCAGTTGTTGTAAGACAATCACAGGGAGCACTGCTGCCCATTCCTTGGATTAATCCCTTAGTTGCCTTTTACGACACCCACGGGTAGAAATGTGATGCTGGCAGTAATTCTGTAATACTAATAATGAAAGCCTTCTTTTGTCCAGGTGGGCGACTACAGCGTGTCCTTGAAAGCTCCAGGCCGCAACAAGCATTTCCGCGTCCACGTGGAGGGCAACATGTTCTGCATCGGCCAGCGCAAGTTCCCCACGCTCGATCAGCTCGTGCAGCACTACCAGCGCGCGCCCATATACACCAACAAACAGGTACAAAGCAATTATAAGTATATACATGAAAAGAAATAGCGGAGCAAGGATGGAACCCTGATGAATACTATATGAAACAGTAGAACAAGTATAGAGCCCTGATGCAGACTTTGAACACTAGAAGAAACAGTGGACCAAGTATGGACCCTTGCGGTTCTTTCACTATTATTCAAACTATGACTGTAAAGCCGGCTTAAAATAGCATCATCCCAATTATACTCGTGGGTGTCGTAAAAGGCGTAAGGGATTAATGCAAGGATGGGCAGCAGCGTTCCCTCTATCCTCCAATTGGGGGCAGCCCAATTTAGTCCAGCAATGGACTGTTTGGCTGTAATAGTACAGTATAGTAGTATGACTGTGAAAGCCCCCGGGCGCAACAAGCATTTCCGCGTCCACGTGGAGGGCAATATGTTCTGCATCGGACAGCGCAAGTTCCCCACGCTCGACCAGCTCGTGCAGCACTACCAGCGCGCGCCCATATACACCAACAAACAGGTACAACGCAATATAAGTATGTACACGAGAAGAAATAGCGGAGCAAGAATGGAGCCCTGATGTACACTTTGATTGAGCGCTGAAAGAAACAGTGGACCAAGTGTGGACCCTTGCGGTACTTTAACAATTATTCAAACTATGACTGTGATGCTAGCTTAGAATAGCATCATCCCAATTCTACTCGTGGGTGTCGTAAAAGGCGACTAAGGGATTGATCCAAGGAATAGGCAGCAGCGTTCCCTGTGAATATCTTCAACACCTTGCACTGCGCTCGCCAATCCGCCTGCCAAGCGTCGTGAGTATGGCATTACCCTCCAATTGGGGGAGGCCCATGTCCAGCAGTGGACTGTTGTGGCTGAAATAGTGTAGTATAGTAGTATGAATGTGATTGCCCCGGGTCGCAACAAGCATTTCCGTGTCCACGTGGAGGGCAACATGTTCTGCATCGGACAGCGCAAGTTCCCCACGCTCGACCAGCTCGTGCAGCACTACCAGCGCGCGCCCATATACACCAACAAACAGGTACAAAGCAATTAAAAGTATGTACACGAAAAGAAATGGCGGAACAAGAATCGAACCCTGATGTACACTTTGAACACTTATGCCTTAAAGTTTTTGCCAAGGCTAATTGTTGGAACGGTCATTTGTTTTTTCTTTTGTGTCCTATGAAAGGGTTAATTTATAAGATTCGTTGTACGCGAATCCGGTGTACGAAAAAGTCATACAATACACACTAATCGATGATAAACATAATCGAAAGCCTTTTAAAGTTCTATGGAAAATTCAGTAGGATCTCATCTGTTTTAAGTTTATTATATTGCTTGATGATAGATATTTATATTTAGGTATAGGAAGCCATAAGTAAATGTTTTATTTATTAAATTATATTCTGACTAAACTGTTTTCTTTCCAGGGCGAGAAGCTGTACCTGGTGCGACCGCTGCCCCGCGCGGGCGCGCCGTGCTGAGCTCCCCCCCTCCCCCACCCCCCCACTACGCGTACGTCACCAGTATACTATACCTTACTCCTTCTATCTTTTACGAAAGGGATTACTTTACATCACTTGACGTCTTACTCGCACTTTGAGCAAATATCTCAGCATCCAAAGTTATTTGACCTTGCGGTCAAGTTATGCTGGGTTCTTTTTTAACCAGTGTAAGCCAAACTCTCTCATTCATGACGAAGCAAAAACAGTGTGTAAGAGACGTCCTTATAACTTACGATGTCATTATGTTAATAATAATTCTTAACCACTGCGGTAGGTATTGTTTCAAGATTGTAATTCGGTCGTGGTTCAACGGGTCGTTTGTCGTACCAGAGTCCCACATGATATGAATTTGTATTGGACTGTTGAGAGGCAGTGCAGTTAGGTAGAAGAAATTTTTAGGACATTGACTACCGTTCTAGGTCCTGCAGAAAGAGATATCATTATACAGAGAAGTAAAGCAGTTGTCTCTTTCATACGCAGGCCAGAGCTGCAGAAATAATACAAAAATAAGGCCTAACCTGAACTACTTAATACAGTAATATTTTACCAAACAATATATACTTACATTTTACAAGTTCCTTGCCAATATTACCCTTGCTTCTTCTCATCACATGTCAATTTCAAAATAAAATCCATTCCATTCGATAATCTATAAAATAAAATAATAATTATAATAAGAGTCCTGCACGAGCCTTGTAGTCGAATATGAAGCCAATACGGTCTAGAAAGAGATAGCTGTTCCGTTCTCTGAATATGTTTGAACGGGACAGTGGTATTTAGCCAAGATGAGATAAGAACGTTCCGATAGGTTTTCAAAAATGTTGGCCCTCATTTGAAGGATGGGGTTTTGAAGTGAAGGAATGTACTTTTAGAGCGTGAGCAAGATTCATTGAAGTAGGCTCATTGCTAAAGTCAGGCCACTTTTAACAGCTGTCAAATATGGGCTTTTAGAAGTGATCGGACTTTAGTGTATTTTGTATGCCAATAAGATGTCAATACATGAGCTCTTCTTTGTAAATTGAGAATTCCTAGTCGGAGCCGTTTCCATTTATAAGCCCATAGCATACTCTTATGTGTAGTATAAATAAATGCGGCGTTGATACAACGTTCGCTCATATAAATATAACGATAATAAACCAAAAATCGGCTTCTTCACCGCAACTCTACTAGGTAAGCGCGTTTTCTATATCATATTATTTAGATAAGCCCCGTAAGTAACGTAGGATAATATATTTCT